GGGGGTTGGGGGGGCACTCAGGGGACAGGCAGCAGTTGGATAGGCATGGGAGTCCCAGGGGTTTGTCAGGGGACAGGTAGGGGGTGGAGTCCTAGGGGGGAACTTGGGGGGTGTGTGTCTCAGGAGGGGGCAGTTGGGGACAAAGAGAGGGGAGGCTTAGATAGGGGGTGGGGTCCCGGAAGGGGGCAATCAGGGAACAAGGACCAGTGGGGCTTAGCTAGGGGGTGGGGTCCTGGGGGGCAGTTGGGGCAGGGGTCCCGGGAGGGGGTGATCAGGGAGCAGGGGGGTTGGATGGGTTGGGGTTTCTGTGGGGGGCAGTCGAAGGGAGTGGATGGTGGCAGGGTGGGGCTACCCTCCCTCCCTGTGGAATGTCCTATTTTTTGAATGTTAAAATATGGTATCCTTACCTTCCCAGTGCAGCTCTCCATTCAAAGCAGGCTGTAGCACGAGGTCTCAGCTTCCTCACTCCCCCCCCTCTTTCCTGTTGGTAGTGGCCAAGGGAATGCTGGGAAATGTAGTTCTTTCCCTGCTCCAGGGCTGGCTCTATAGGCAGGGAGCTAACCAAGGAACTACAGCTCCCAGGGCCCCCTGTTGGTTCTCAGCTCCCATGCTGGATCCCTGCTGCCCCTGCAAATGGGCTGCCCCAAGCACGTGCTTGCTTTGCTGGTGCCTAGAGCCGCCCCTGTAGATGAGCACCATCAGTGTTGTGAGTCTCACTGTTGCTATGGTGGAAAGATTTTTTTTTTCCAAAGAGGAAGGTTTTGCAGGACTTCCTAAAGATGGTCAGGCTCTGTATTCACCTGATCTGCTCTGGCAGTCTATCCCAGAGCCAGTTCCCTTCTACTGACCATGTCTTGTCCCTAGCTCTCACATGCTTCACTCTGGGCTTTTTGATTTGCATCCTCCCAGAGGAGCCCATCTCCCTGGCAGAAAACACATCAGAATTCAGTCTTTAAGCTGTGGTCTTCGGACTGCAACACAGGAATGGGAGGGAGAAGACGTGGGTCCTCTTTCGGTCTCTTCCACTGACTCACAGAGTGACCTTGAGTAAATCACTGCAACAAGGATGGTCCACAGGAAAAGCTCTAGTGAAGCAGTGCAGCATTGAATGGGTGGGGAAAATGTCATATGATGCAGCCAGAACTGGGAACACAAGCATTATGAGGTCAAAAACTCCAAAGAGCTGCTATAGTTTATAATGGCTAACTCTGAGAGGCCAAAACTCTGTGCACCTCTCTTTAGAAACATTTCATCCATTAAAATAGCAGCTGCCAAGAAGTTAACAATAGAAGCCATTTGGAATAGCACTGCCCCTCTTGTTCCTGCTGAGTGTCTGCACCTTGAATCTTAACCCATATAGTGTGCTAGTCATGGTGAAAGGATCCTCCTAGACAAACATCAAACTAAAGGTGAACAAACTTTGAACCCTACTTTGCCATCTCCAGACAACACAATCAATGAGAGGAAGAATGGTGATGTGATTGATGCACTGGACTCAGGGGATCTGGGTTGAATTCCTGGCTTTGGCAAAGCTGCCAAAGGCAGGAATGTGACTTTGGGCAAATGTGACTTTGGGCAAATCACTTAATCTCTATGTGCCTTAGTTCCCGTCTGTAAAATGGGTATTGTTACAACCTGGTGCAGTACCCTCCGTATAGTCATCAGTCTGTTGTGAGTGGGCCCAATCATTGTTGTGAGAGGGCCCAATCCAAGTCAATTGGCTCTGGGTAGAGTCTAGTCACTGTTTCTAGCTCTGAGACTCCCCAGCACACTCAGAGGCTCAGATCTGTTGGGATATGGGGTGCTGCCATCCAGCTGCCCTGGATCCTGAAACCTCTCAAGCCTCCCAGTTGCTTACTCATTCTCCATCAGAGTCCCAACTAGGCTAAGGGTCTCTGGGCTTCTACTGGGTCTCTGGCAGGAAAGTAAGGAACACAGACTTAGCAAAGATGTTTCTTAACCATCGTGGCTTTACTTTTAAAGCATTCAAGAATTACAGATCTTTGAAAATAACAGAAGCCCTGAGATGCACTGTCCCGAGTCTGATCTCATCCCTTCTGTAAGTCCCTGGTTTGTCAGACTCTGCTTAGCCTGAAACTCTCTCCTGCCCTCTCTCTTTCAAGCCCTTCTTACATGTTGCAGTGGATGGGCCCCTGCACAGAGCAGAATCTTGCTCTTAAATAGGGCCATGACTCTGAGCCATGTGCTCGAACTGAGATGCTCCAGATCCCCCAGTTATGCTTGCCCCCTACCCTTGTGGGCCCAGTGTAGAGACCATTGTTCTATGGGGTTGGACCAATAGTTCAGTCATTCAGAATCAGTAGCCCCAGATGACTCTGATGATGGTCCTTCAGAAAGGAGCTAGGGCAGCTGTCTGGAATGCAGTGCAACAGGCTACCCTTGCACAAGTCCAGACTAGTGTTCAACACATAGTGTACAATAGAATTCATAATCTGATCCAGACATATCCTACTCGGTCACAGTGATAGCATTTCCCTACTTCACAGAGTTTATAAGATGCAGATACATTGGTGATGAGAACCTTATAAATCCCTAGGCAGATCAAAAGGCTAATGGGGATTTACATGTTTTTTTCCCCACACTTCTGTCTGGCCACTTGGTGGCACACTTATTCCTTACATTGTTCAGCTGGATGGAACCTCAGTTGTGGGGAAGGGAAGGTTTTTAATGTTACTGATGGAGAGCTTGGCAGTTTGGTGGTTTGCTGAAGTAGTTCTCCAGTCACTAAATGTTACTGTTGGGGAATTGATGCATTCAGTCAGGATTTCTCCAGGTATGGAGCAAAAAAGGGGTTGCTAGGCACCACAACAGGTGGGTCAATAGCTCAGACTGATTTCTGATTTTCATTACCATTTTTCACATGTTCCAGACAACCCTGAGATACAACATCCTTCTTCCCAATAAGACTTCTGGGTTCTCTCTCTCAGTGCAGACGGCAAATGCTTCCTGCGCAGACAGTTTCCGGGCAAAGTTTGACATCGTCCTCTCAACCAGGTAACCTCCCTTCAGTTGCCTGAATGACAAGAACTGGCTGGTTAAGACGGGATGGCTTTTGAAAGAACAGATTACAAATATTAAAGTGCTATTAGATGGTCTGTGTAAAATACCTGAGGGTACTAATCGCCTTGGCCTGCTAGACACTTACCCCAAACCCCAGGGATACCCCCTCTTTCCAGACAACTGTCCCTCCCTGGGGATACTTGTCCCCTTCTTGGACATCTATCATTGGTCATTTCCGCACCTCTTCCATGTTAATAAATGATCAGCAATTACATGCAATTCGAAAAGGCCTTTGCAGGCTGTGTGTGCTCTGGAGCCGAAGGTGTCATTGTGTTTCCTCCACATTCATGGTCCAGAGTGACCCAGTCCCTCCCATTTCAGTTATGCCGGGAAACGCAATATCTCCAACATGGCCATTATCAACGTCAAGATGCTCTCTGGCTTCGTACCTGTCATTTCATCCCTGCAGAAGGTAAGGAATGGCAGTGACATGAATAAGCCACCTCAGGGGAAGAGGGGTTTACAGAATATTACAACATGGACTGGATAAAAAAGGGGGCCTGGTTAGCACTGAAAAAACACTTTCCTAGGGATTTTAATGTGTCTGTAGCACTTGAATAGATTGTGTATTCTCAGCCTGGGGGTCACACCCTCCAGGAGTCCTGAGCAGGGGTCAGGGTGTCACAACTACCCTGTTTCCTAGATTGCTAAACTTGACGGAGTTCCCAGATAGAGCCTGATTAAATGGGAGTGAGATTGAGGGAAGGGAGGTGTCCTAATATGGACAAGGTTGAGGATCACTGGATTAGATTAACCAACTGGAATTCCAAACTGACTGTCTCCTGTATAACTGTTTAGGTATGTGCATTTCCTGACAAAGCCACTACACACTTGGGTCTCTATCAAGTGATTATTTTTATTGACCCATGCTATCCATTAGATAACACTTTGGCTCAGTCATTTACTGCAGATTCTGGGGGGTCTTGCTTTCAGTGATTATTAATATTTTAATGTTTCCCACATTTCCTCATCTAAAGCTTCGTGAGGATCAGAAAGTGATGCAGGTAGACACCAAGCAAAACCACGTCCTCTTCTACCTAGAGAGTGTGAGTTCTGGAAAATCAATTCTTTGGTTTGGGTTTAGCAGGTTTTAATTTTGCACAGAAGATACATGCATAGCCACTCCACATATGTGTGATAAACTGCATTGATCATGCACCTTTGCCCATTAATCCATCTACCCTGAAACTATTCTAACATTCCAAATCCCTCAGCAGCTTCCAGCAGCCTCCTGTTCTTTTATTCAAAATAAAACACACACAAAATGTTTCCTCCTTTCAGACACTGACTGCTGGGGGCCAAGGAGCAACCTCCCCAGTGTGCACACAGCTCCACTAGGGGGTTTCCTCTAAAGCAGCTGGTGCTGGCCACCAGCACAGACCGGATACTGCACTAGATGGAGCACTAATTTTATCTGGTCTGGAAATGTTGATGTTCCTTCTCCTCCTCACACCTGCCACATAGAGAATTTCCACCTTCCCTCCAATCAAACTGCACCTGCCTCAGGACTAGAGCTAGCAGAACACAGTCCTGCCACAGAAGCAGCTTTTCTAGTCAGAAAAAAATGTCGCATTTTTAAAGTTGATTCCCTTGAGGCCCTGCAGGGAGTGTTTACACCAGTGGAAAGGGGAGATTCCCAGCTTCTCCATGGGATGCACACCCTCACTTCTATGCTTGGAGGGACTGCAAGACATTAGACTTCAATGTCATGACCACTGGGGATTTAGAAGTTGGTTTTGTTTCCTCTGAGCCCTGTGTATTGGGACTCATGATGACTGAGGATCACAGCAATACAAGAAGGAGAGGAAAATTAGAACCAATAACATTTAAAAAAAATTCTCTAAGACTGTTTCTAAAATGACAGATACAGGCAGGTAAATAATGGATGCCAGGGCTGGAGTGCATCATGCACACAGGAGATGTGTGTGTTGGGAACCCACCACAGCTTAGCAGTCCCTGGGGTTGACCCTTTACAGAGGAGTCGGTGTTCTATGAATAAAAGCTGATGCCCATCTCTGTCCCTCACATTCCCAGGTCTCACGTAAGACTATCAGTTTCTCTTTCTCTGTTGAACAAGACCTTCCTGTGTCCAACATCAAACCAGCTTCAGTGCTGATCTACGATTACTATGAAACAGGTAGGAGGGCTTTGTTTAGACCACACACCAAGTGGGGGGAAGTGTCACTGCATTTACTAAAGCTGATGGAGGGCCATTACAATTGGGAGGCTGATGAGGGCCTTGGAACTCAATAGGGGTTTGAGCCAAACCTACTCAAGTCAATGGAGAGACACCTGTTTACTTCAGTGAGCTTTGGCTCAGGCCATATGTGCTGAATGTGGAATAGGTGATGGACTAGAACTGGGAAGATTTCAAAGAGATCCATTCTGAGCTTCTATGGATTAGGGATACTCCACAGGGAGGGGAGGTTTGTGTGATGGGCATCAGAGATGGAGTGACTTCTTACTGCAATGGGAATGTTCCCATCTCTTCCAGACGAACATGCTGTTGCAGAATACAAGTCACTCTGCAATGAAGCTGCCCCTGAAAGCATCGAATAGCCTGGGAAAGGTAAGTGAGAGCTGGAGACACTGAGCAGATACAAGGAGAAGGTGGTGAGTGGAGAGCAAGAAGAAAGGTGAGGTAAATGGGGAGCTGCACTGAGTAGATGCACAGAGGTGGGGTAAAGAGGTTGATAGAAGTTCCTGTAGGTTAGGGTTATCTAGTCTCCACCAGCCTGATCAAAGAGTAGGGAGGCAAGGTTGTTTTCATGTAAGAGCCCAATCCTGCCAGATGCCAAGTTCCCAAAATCGATGGGAGTTGGGGGCACTCAGCAGTTCCCAGGAAGAGCTCTGCCCTCTGCATCATTGGAGTCCAAGTGCATAAAATCAGACTGATGGAAAATGGCTGAAGAGTATTATATAAGCGCTAGCATCTTCCCAAATGCAGTGCTTTTCTAATCAGCCCTTTAAAGCCTGCCTCTTCCAGGTACCCACCTGGCCATTTCACAGGGAGCTGGGACTCATGGAAATCCCATTTCTAGCCAGTGAATCAGTGAAATGCTTTCTGGAGAGAAAGCTAGCTCATACTGACGTCATTCTTGGGGCTGGAGTATTGGTGGTTCAGTGGGAGACATCTCACCTGACATGTGAGGCCCCTGTTCAATTCCTGGAAATGCAGCATTCTTACACCATGTTGGCTGCTACTTGCAGGGCTAGGCTGTTGGAGCTACAGATGTATCCAACAGCTGGATTCCTTGGTCCAGTTTCACAATTCTGCCCTCAGTATAGTTGTGCAGCAGAAGTGAGCTGGGCCCCTAACCCAGAGGTCAAGAGATTAAGAACATAAGAATGGCCATACTGGGTCAGACCAGATGTCCATCTAGACCAGTATCCTGTCTTCCGACAGTGGCCAATGCCAGGTGCCCCAGAGGCAATGAAGAGAACAGGTAATCATCAGGTGATCCATCCCCTGTCGCCTATTCCCATCTTCTGGCAAACAGAGGTTAGGGACATCATACCTGCCCATCCTGGCTAATAGCCACTGATGGACCTATCCTCCATGAACTTATCTAATTCCTTTTTTGAACCCTGTTATAGTCTTGACCTTCGCAACATCCTCTGGCAAGGAGTTCCACAGGTTGACTGTGCGTTGTGTGAAAAAATACTTCCTTTTGTTTGTTTTATAACTACTGCCTATTAATTTCATCTGGTGATCCCTAGTTCTTGTGCTATCAGAAGGAGTAAATAACACTTCCTTATTTACTTTCTCCACAACAGTCATGATTTTATAGACCTCTATCATATCCCCCCTTAGTTTTTTTTTTCCAAGCTGAAAAGTCCCAGTCTTATTAATCTCTCCTCATATGGCAGACGCTTCATACCCCTAAGAATTTTTGTTGCCCTTTTCTGAACCTTTTCCAATTCCAAAATATCTTTTTTGAGATGTGGCGACCACATCTGTACACAGTATTCAAGACTGAATTCATGCTTTCCTAGAATCTATGAATTCTGTGTTTGCCTTGTTCTCACTGATGTTTCTGCTTTGCTTTTTCCTCCAGGACTGTGGTGAATGATGAACAAGTGATCATGTTTCCTATTTTCCTCTATGTTCAGTCACAGAAAGGGCCATTTCATTGCACTTCACCCTTCTAATCACAGGGGTCCATGACAACATGTGTCATTTTTACCTGAACTTAGGCCTGATGCTTCCTTCCATGAAG